AAATTCCTGAAGCCTGAAATGCGAAGGCAACGATCAAATTTCCCCAAAATTCCCCAAATCTGAGCAACTGCAGCCCCGCATTTCCCGTAGTTGCCGGGATTTTAGGAAGTTTGGGGAAATTTGACCCCTGCCAATGTTTTCGCATGTCAGGCTTCAGGAATTTTGGTGAAATTCCAGCCTGGCAGCATTTGGGCAACCTCACATGCGAAAATATCGGCAGGGATCAAATTCCCTAAAATCCCTAAAGCAAAGCGAAAACATCGGCAGGGATAAAATTTCCCCCAAATTCGCAAAATCTGAGCAACTTTAGCCCCGCATTCCCATAGCTGCCGGGATTTTAGGAATTTGGGGAAAATTGATCCCTGCCCAAAATTTCGGTGAAATTTGAGCCTGGCAACACTTTGGCAACCTCAGATGCGAAAACATCGGCAGGGATTGTAAATGTCAATAAAATTCCTTGTCCCCGCATTCCTCATAGATGCCAGGATTTGACTGTTATCGTGTTATTGTTCTTGGTTTTTTGTTAATCTTAATATTTCTATTTTTTTTAATGATGATATTATGAGTCTAGTAGAAGACGGAAAGTTGGAACATGGTTTCAGGAGGATTAGTGCTAGGATCCCTTATGCTTTACTTTAAGGGCATGAGGACAGTCATGCTCCAGCTTTCTAGCTTCTACCATACTATATTGGCACTATCGTTATCATTAGTAGTACTGCTGATGGTGGTGGAATACATGTTGTCCTCATTACCTGTTGTTCTTGTTGCAGTTTGAATTCCAGCGGTACCAGTACGTAGCAGCATTATTGTGTTTGGTAGTTGTTCTTGTTGTATAGATGTAGCTGATTTTACAGTTAGTCGAGGCTTTTGATTCTGCAAGTCCACAGTAATTTCTAAATCTATGGCACCTCGCTCATGGTCATAGATGAAGGAGCTCTCCCTCAGTATGCTTTGAATATGATGCTAATGTATTTTGTGTATCAACTGAAGGAGTTTTGTATTTCTGCGCATGGTGTTAAAACCTCAGGCCCTCTCTGTCTTGTGAATACGAAACAACAGAACAGTTTCTTTTTACTCGATGAAGATGGGAGGAGGCTTAGGCGACAAAACAGGAGCCATGTCATGCCTTGTTGAACGATGTAGCAGCTAGCA